TCTTCTTCTTGTGGTTCACATTTAAAAGCACTGCCTTGTTTCGACACATCCAAATTTACCTCAAGTTTTTGTTTCCTCCTGGATTTGATTAGTCCAAGGAACACATTGAGTACTTGTTTATTTCTATTTTTGCTGTACACTTAATAAAATAATCAGTTTGTTATGTAACTGAACCTTTTATATATTGACCCCCCCCCAAAATAATACCTTGCTAGCCCTGTTTTAAAAGCCTAGCTCCGACTCTGTCTGTGTGACTCATGTTTTATAATGGAGAGCTTCTTTTCCAGAAGGTATTTCTTTCTTTGTTTCCATTGTCCAATGGCGTCTATCAGCAGTGAGGATCCTTTCCTGCCCTGAATAGTGTTCTTACTGTTGAGCTTATAAAAAAGTGAAGGGAGGGAGCTAAGATGAGGAGGTAGGAGCTACTATTTGGGGTATTTGGATTGAACCCCAGGCTGATAATGTGCGGAAATGAACCATATCTGGGTTCCAAAGGTTAGACTTTGTTTTAAACTGGAATTTCATGGATATCCTGGATCCTAAGAGGGACATTCCTTCTCATTTAATTGCATGTTTAATGTCTCTGAAATAAGGAAAAATTTGGTGGGTGAGACTTTAGCAGAAACTGCTGATTGATTTGATATTAAACTGTGAGATAAATTCTAGTTAGAAAGCAAAGAAAAACTTTTCCAGGTTTCTTTTTTGGTGTTTTGTAGATATTTTACTAAAACCTGAGATTTTTTTTTTTAAATAAAAAAGACGATGTGACTTCATGGGATCCGACGGGCTCGGGTCTCCGTCTGACAAACAACTCAAACTCCAAACCAGCGTCAGCGTTTCAGGCTCAGAGGACTCTGAGGCTGAGCCGCAAAATGATTCAAATGTTGTTGTTTTTCCGTCGCAGCGTCTGACCAGAAGCTGAGGGCTTTGCAGAGCTGCTATTTGTGGACACCTGAGTGTGGAGAAAGTAACCGATATGCTGCTGGCTTCACGTATCTAAGCCAACTTGGCAAACATGTGTCTGCTTTGGCAGCAGCCGGTTGATGAGTCACCCCCCGCCCCCCAACCCGGACGGACTGATCTCCTCCTGAATCATCTCTGGAAGTTAGAATTAAAGCCCAACATTTGGAAGGTGAATTAGATTTCTGCAGATTATATAATTATAGATGTTATGCAACAGTTTTGGCGTCCAGCTTGGCCAGGTGAGTGCGTCACAGCAAATTATCCGAGGAGGAACATGTGAGAGGGTTCTGGCTTTGATTTGATCCATTACTGCCTGCAAAGTCTGGGGAGTTTATGCGGAAAATGTCGAAAGGATCCTCGAAACAAACAAAAACAATTAAAAAGTATAAGTAAGAAGATTAGTTGGTATCAACTGAAAGATTTGTGCAGAAATCTCTCCTTCCTGAAAAGTTGTTTTTGTGGTAAAACTTGAGAAATCTCATCTTAAAGCTGCTGCTTTCACAGATCATCTAGAAATTATGTTATTATAGATATAATTAATGTAGAGTCTGTCCACAAAGTGGGCATCTTAATGTCCAGCGAGATAAAAAACACAACTTTCAAATCTTTTAACTCCATTTCTCTTCTCTGAAATGAACCCAATGAAATGTGAGTTTATTCTAATATTTTTCAAAGGCGCGGTATTTAAAGGTACACTATGCAACCGGTGTTGATTTTCCAGCGAGGCTCCCCCCAGAGGGCGAAAGTAAAAGTGCAC